ACACACACACACACACACACACACACACACACACACACACACACACACACACACACACACACACATGCTGCACACGTCAGCCTTCCATACTAATGACATGTCAGCAACATGCCATGTGTCGTCAATGCTTCCAGGAAGCTGTCATAGAAAGTATGTGTCTTTACCTCGTGGACTATCCCCGGTGCCATCACCCTCCACATCCTCTCCTAGCATGTCCCACATGTGGTATTGGTCATACACCTACGGCAACCACTGACGGATCTCCCTCTTTCATGCCAGATGAACGACAAACACAGCAGTCTGAGGAGGAAAATAGACTTCTATATGAATAACCGGCAGAGCGATGTGCTCATAGTTTATGACCACCAGGGCGAGCTGTTGCGGATCATATCCTGCAGCAGCTGAATGCCCTTGCGTTGGACCGATCCTCCCTGTCGTCGTCTGCCCATAGAGACACCAGCGGTTAATGGAAGGCCAAAAATTCGGGTTTTTTTCGCCGCATCGCTACAAGCAATTTTGTTGAAACTTTTGCAAACAAACTATTCAGGGTCATAATACAAACATCAAAAAAACAAACAGGCAAAAAAAAAACCAAAAAAACAAATTCAAGAGCTCTATAAAACCCTATTCGGAGTAGATTTCGGAGTTCGCCAAATCTTTTTTTGAGTCCGGTGTTTTTGCTAAGTTTTTGGTTACTGGTCCAAATGTGGCGAAACTGAATACAGATATACCCTAAAGCATATACATATCAGGCAAAAAGAAAAACCAAGAAAAAAGTAAAAATTTAGGGAAATATGGTAGTTTCGGTGAAAAATTTGCCGAATTGAGAAGGAATACATACTGAGGAAGCCCAAGAAAGATGCTCCATGCCGTTTTGTGATGACCCGCCGGAGATTCAACTAGCATGTGGTTCACATGCCTTGTGCCGTGAGGATTATGAAGGTATAGTCCATGCGAGTTCTTGCTTCCATACGTACGATGACAGTCAGTACTGTACTCATGTACGGCACCCCGACATGTCATGTCCACTTTGTAGACAGGGGCTGGAACGGCAATGCCTCTATAATTGCAGTCGACATGCCTCTGTGTTCCTAGCATGTACGAGCCACGTAGCCTATGACATCTGTCGGCGCCGTGCCATTCGATGCAGCAACTGTGACTGCGAAAATTGGATGTGGTGCTTCCATAGCCCACACCCGAACCGGTCCTGTCCGGTCTGTAGGGGTGGCCACTTGCC